ATTCTTTTCGGCGTCACATTTTATGACTCATAGGCACTATCAAGTTGTCTGTGGCAGTTTCTTACGCGGGGAGTTCAAATATTTGTGTTGAAATAAATTAATTGAAACTGCATGGTTATATCAAAAAATGACTTAAGCAACTGAAAGACTACGGACATGGGACCAAGCAATATATACAATTCCGTAGAATTCATAAGTAAACCAATAAAGCGAATGCTTATATCACACACGCGATTAAGAACGTAAAACAGATATAGGTGTGATATTGCGAACAAACAAGTTGCCCAATGTTAAGGTACCATTATTTCTAGCATTAAAAATAATTCAAACTAAATGTTTGTTCCCGCGCCTTGTCCACTAGTTCCTTAGTGTAATCAAAAGAAACTGTTTTCGATCTGTTGGAACTACAAAACACCATGTTTTCAGGAAAAACACGTGGCTAATTACGCTGAGTGTTTTTGTTTTCTTCCTTGACACCAATGCGCACTCATATATATATATATAATAACATTGGGCTTCCTATTGCAAATGGTCCGCCCTTATTAGTAGCCAAACCTCAGTTCTCATAAGTTATTGGTATTTGAACCCTCGAGGCTCTCTTCAAGTCACATATGTATTCAATGTGCGCAAGTGCTAACGCTGATTCCTGTTCCTATAAAACCTTTTCACACGTATCTCGCACGCCGACGGTAAAAAATACTCAAAACGTGTTACAAAATCAACTACAGAAGTTGTGCGCATAATGATGTAATGCAATTGCATGGTAAGTATAAGTATCGGACGACACTTTACGGAGCAAGGCAAGAGACGCGGTGAAACGCGACGAAAAACACGAATTCAACGCATCCGCCAAGGCGCGGACGGGAGAGCGGAGCAACAAGTTGAAGCAACCTAATGGCGGCCGCATCACGTGATTCCAAGATGGCAGCGCCCATGCGGCGGAGGGTGAAAAGGTCTATATGCCAGATAAGTCTGTATATACGCCAGATAAGTCTGTATATACGCCAGATAAGTCTGTACATACGCCATATCAGGCTATATATACGCCAGATAAGACTGTATATACGCCAGATAAGGTTGTATATAGGCCGTATATAATCATATAATGTTTGATATAGCCAGATATGGTGCAGATATAAGATTTCCATACGGGAGTGGATATTCAGGCTTCTTCCATATTCAGACGCGCTTGACATTCCTTCTCCATTGGACACTCCATCTGGATGGATGTTCAGTCACGGTCAGTGGCCTACCAGCTTGTTTTTGAGTGGGAGGGGGGGGGGGGCAAATCAGACCCCCCCCCAGACCGGAGGGCGGTGCCCTTGGTATCCCTGGCGCGCCGCCGGCCAGCCTAGTGGCGGCTGTTTCAGGGGGGGGGGGGGGCAAAACACATGTCTTGCCCCTCCCCCCTTTGAGAAGGGGGGGGGGGGGTCAAGCGCCCCCCTTGGCCCCTGGTTGGTACGCCCACGGTCACGGTAAACATTCTGGCCAGGTTGGATCTTCAGTACTGTTGGATATTCAGACTCGTTGGCCATTCCGTTTCAGATGGATGTTCTTTCTAGGTCGATATTTCGTCTTTACTGCCATGTGATCAAGTGGATATCGTACATGGAGTGGCATCCAGTCTCATTACTCTGGCTACCTGGTTTGAGAAATGTGTTTAAAAATGTTTACATATTCCAAGCTGATAGATCTTCATATTTGTTAAAAATAGCGTTGGTCACTCAGGCGGATTTCGACCAGTTGGTTAAACGGCTATTCTTGGGAAACATCTATGACTGCTGAAAAGTTTTAAGAAAACAAGATGTAGAACTTCGCGGAGCCACATCTGCACAAAACCCACTATTTGTCTTACAAACATGTTTTATGCAGGTTATTGTTTTAATAATAAATTATGTGGCAAATCGAAAGAGGCTAGGATAGTATTTAGGTATCAATAATAAAATGCAAACACATACAACAATGAGTGATTGGTGCACATCGGTCCAACTGTTTACACAAAAAGGTACGGAAACGACGCTTCGTTAATTGATATGTTCCCGCTTTCGGCATGCGACACCTTTCTCCATATCTTCAAAAGAAGACAATGGGATAGCAAAAAACATGATGAATTTATTCACTAAACGACTACCAAAAAAAAAAAACTGCTAAGCAGAACTTGGGAGCCCAAAAATGATCGTGATTCTGCCCCCGTAATTGTAGAAGTCCTGGTAGGTGGCAGTATGGACACTGGTGAATCAGGCAAACGCATCCATTTCTGCGAGGAGTCTCTCGCTTCTTGCCGAGACGTACGGAGCTTGATGTTGGTCTTGCCAAAGCGAGCGGATCCAGCAGAAGAACCTGCACTCGATTATGTACCTTCATGGTGCGCAACCTCAAGGAATTCAAGTTCCTTCTCGTATTTTCATTAGAAATTTGTCAGCATTGTGCTTGGTTTCTCGTTTATTAAAAGCTTCAGTGACCAGTATAAAAAAACCAGAATTACTAGCAAATGAATGCGACACGCAGAAAGTAAAAAAAAAGCCAATTGATTGATTGGGTTCCATAAATTAGATACTTGCGGTTTCGCAACACGCTAACAAACGAAGAACAGTCGGTTTCAACGAGTAGACCGGTCTATCTTTTTTTTTTTAAGCTTGACTCGTTCCAAACAGAGACCCTGTACATATTTGCCGAAGCTGAGCATGAAACCAACTGTTTTTTTCTAGAGGCCAAAGCATCAGGGATGTTTACTTTAAACCCGTCTCAATATTTCAAAAATTGCTAAGGTAAACTTTATTCAGTGATGCTTTTTATCACCGCCCGTTTAGTCACAGAGAGCAAAGTCTTATCAGAAACGCACCTTCTCAAGTGCGAACTGCAAGCTTATTTTTAGAATACTGTTATTTTAGGTTCTAACTGGTAACATTGAACAGCGTATACAGCAATATTCCACGTCTCCACGGTTCCCGCATTGGATATTCAATTTCAGTGGACAAACAGACAGGGTTGGATCTTCCATCTCGTTGGATATTCAGTCACGGAGGACATTCAGGTCTTGTTGGATCTTCCGTCTCGATAGATATTCAGGCCGTAAGCGTGGAAGACAAGACGAACAAAACAAACACAACGCTCCGAACACAGCAGAAACTTCTATTAGGCCGAATCATCCTTAAGTAGGCTCACGAGTAAAGAAACACAAACACAAAAAGAAAAAAGATTTAGCACTTCTAACTACCGCACTAAGGAACAAAGTCACTAATATGACACCATCAGGAAAAACCCAAAGCACACATCACTGGCCACACGTTCCCCAAACATAAAAGAAAGAAAAGTACATCCTAGTAAAACATATAAAATAGCGCAAAAAAGATAAGGACAAGAAGTCTCTTTTGCGCTATTTTAATGTTTTACTAATATAAACCAACTAACCCAACAACGCACCCTACTAAAAATACACCCGAACACGCCAGCGGGAAAAAAGGAAAAGGGAAAAGCTACCCAACTTAAATTACCTCCCCGCGCACATACATTAAAATATATTCAATACTTTTTTTTATTAAATTTTTTAAAATGCTTTTAAATTCTCAAATAATTTGTTAGTGTATGTTTGGATGCCGGGGGGGGGGGGGGGAGGGAGGTGGTTGATTGAAGTTGGATGTTTTTTCATTTCCCTTTATGTCAGGCAGGCATGGCCAAGTGACTTTTCCAGTTTTTTATGTGAGGAATCTGTGGGGGTAATGTGTGCTTTGGTTTCTTTTTGTTTGTGTCCTCGGGTGACTTTGTTGCTTAGTGTCGTAGTTATAGGTGCTCAACCTTTCAACCTTTTCCTTTTTTATATGTATGTATACTTCTCTGATTATGGGCCTGTTTAATGATGATTCAGCTTAATAAAAATGTCAGCTGTGTTTGGAGCTTTGTGTTTATTCGTCCCGATTTTCCCCCGCTCTCGGGTTACCCCGCCAATCGTAAAATGTTATAGTAATAAGATGTGTTAGGCCTGGATGGCACACAAATAATATAAAATACCTTGATTGACGAGTAAGCACCTTTGTTTAGAATGTTGCATTGCTTGCAGTCCTGCACTCTAGGTTAATTACGCATAATTGTCGAGATTTACATGCTACAGCAATATTATTCCGAATAAGCAGCTGGATGGGTAAAAGGTTCGGAAAACATAGCGTGGTTGCTTTGACCCTCACCGTTTTGTCTTCTAATTAATATTTGTTTGATACGGTTATATTGGTAAAGAAAATAGGAAATTAGTTTTGTCAACTCGCGGAGAAAGTTTAGCCTTGAGGATATGTGCAAGTAGTTTTCTGCCGTGGCAGGTATCCCGACAGTTTATGGCAGCTATTTCGGTGCAGGGAGTAACAATGCAAGTTTTTTTTTTTATATATTAGGTGAGCCAGCAGTCAAACCAGTCACGCCTGTTAAATGATTGTTCTTTTGATTGTAACAGGTCCAGTGAAAGTGGTTTAGTTTAAAACACATCCATCGGCGTTAGGTGCGGTACTTTGATTAGTTAATTTGGCTTTTAGCCTGTTAAGGCATTGCGAATACTATTGGAATAAAAGTACGCAAAATATTTGGGTGCGTTCGGATGATTCGGCAATTGTTGTTTCCCGTTACCACAAAATTTTAAATGAAACAGTTTTATATAACGAGCTTTGTTCTAATTCCTAGTAACCTTTGAATAAGTGGAAGAAGATGTGCGGACCAACAAGAGACTCTGAAGTATAGAACCTCAACGGTGGAGCGAGGAGGTATTTTTTCTATTATACAAACACAGATAATGAGTCAGTTTAGGAGTAATTTTTAATACACTGCTTTATTCCTAAATATCACACAAAGCGCGCAGTGTTACCGTTATGTCGGGTACTTGGTTGCGTGAGCTACGCCAAACTCTTCTAAATTTTGTTAAGCGACGAAACAATCAGAAAACAATCAAAATTTCTAAGTTTAAAGCAAGATCTGGTCGTTCAAATACTTTCGGTCTTGATATTTTGGCACAGCTTTATTCAGATTGTGTCGCTTAGCGTCCATGCTTTTGTGTTCCTTCTTTCAACACAGACAACAGCGAGGAAAAGGGCCGAAGCTGCCAGCTGTATTCCGCCATGAAGCATGTACAGGCCGTCGTAACTTCCGTGAAAGTCCCTAAAAAAACCTTGAAAATAAATAAAACCAATAAATTGTGAGCAGTCTCGTGATCGACGGGCATCACGCTAGTGTTATCGCGTCACTTGGTATTTGAATAAAAATTTACTACATTTGTTTCTATATTAATTGTTACATAACACATTAGGGAAGGCCATAAATTATCCAGTTGCAGAAGCCTTCTGTTGTTTCCTTACGTTATACAGCTCTCAACAAAAAACCGCAGCTCGCGACTGCGGCAAATGCCGGGAAATTGCACCTTCAGTTAAAACACGCAACTATCAATACACAGTGTTATCTAAGAAACTGCTGCTATTACCAGGAATTAGTATAAGTCAAGTACACGTGAAAGAACGTAGCGTTTTATTTTGTCAAACTGATCGTAACCGTTCGGAACTCTATAAAGACACCACCGAGTCTAGATGTACCTGAGATTTGAGCAGGAATCAACTGCAATAAGAAGCTTCTCGTGCATCAACAGCTACATAATTTATATATGCAGTCAAATTTACAATAAGAAAACAGAAATAGATATGCCAAGTTGTAAAATAGTCTCGAATGGTTAAGTTGTTTGTTATATTTCAATATTATATAGTATTATTGTTTTCTTCTTTTTACGTAATGTTTTTGAAAGAGGACCCTAATGATCAATAAATAAAATAAAAGTTAGAAACGCTCTTTGACTTCATGCCACCATTCAAAACATCAAGACACTGCAGATACTGTGTATTCAACAAAGCCCTACGATAGTCATAGATATATATATATGCCTGGATCCATCCACTATGACCGCAGTGGTGAATTTTGTACTAAAACAAAACACACAGTCTACTTACCTGTTATTGATGGACTGCAAAAAGTGAGAGGCAGCAAGAAAAACGCTGAGAACCCGTAGCATGTTGAGATCCATTGGACACCGATGTAGTCCGCCATGAGGACGCTCCTCATAGGTTGCAGACATCCGTAGACGAGGTACACGCTCAAGCACAGAAGAATTATGTGCACACGAAGCGTGTCATACGACATCGCAATCACTGAACATCCCCATATAAAAAAGCTCGCCATAACTAAGGTGCTACGTCGAAAGCACCTCCTGTCCGCCATAAGGGGAAGGAACAACCGCCCAATAAGTTGGCTGCAAGACCCGTACATGATGAGGGATTCTGCATCTTCAATCGACAAACCTTTGTCTAGTGCGTAGTCTACCAGAGTGGTGACAAACGCAGTTCCTGTAAAATCTGTCAACACTACCAGTGTAATAACAACGCAAAGCATGGGATTCAGTAACAGTCTCAGTGCCGGACGATGTTTCTTGACTTGCTTTTCGGCAGGGGTCGTTGAAGCTTGCTGTAGTTGTTCGGAATCAGCCGAGATTTTCTGTATTTTCGGCGAACCTTCCTCAGTTGCATTCCGCGCACCCTCATCGTTTTTCTTCAAGGACGTCCACGGTGGTTCCTTGACCAAAATACCGATGGCCGAAAGGTGCATAGTGATGCCTCCGAAGATTAGAAGCGTACCACGAAAGGCGTACTCATTTTTTAAGTAGAGAAGAAACTGGGGGAAAACCAGACCGCCCAATGATCCTCCAGCAAACTTCATTCCCGACGTTAAGCCTCTGTACTTGTCAAAATACAGAGCAAGGAGTATACTATACGTCGATGTAATAACACCAATTCCCAGACCTGGAATAGAGCAGAAAAGAAAACGTGAAAGGATTGCATAAGTTACAGTTTCACAGGAGTCTCTCCAAAACCGTGCGTTCAGCGTGTGCTTTGCTTAGCTGTATGTTCAACCTGAAGTGTTCTAGCTAGTGGTAAAGAAATCAAAGGCATGAGAGCTGCTCTTACGCGAGGCCAAATTATACGACCGTTGCGCAGGCAGGATAGGATCGTGGGAAGTCGCAACATAATTGAGTGCCACTTTTAAGACACAAGTCAAGCACAAAACTTCCTGATGTGTTTTTGTATGTTCACTTCCTCTGTATGTAGTCAGTATAGACTATAATTGTTCCCCTAAAGTTAACTAATATTATAAATTGCGACAACCTTGCCCAAAATCGCTATAGTTCCTTAATATGACCTAGTTTCAACCGAAGATCCTTTTAAAAACACGACGACTACACCTTGTAACCAAATAACTTGTGCCTGAGCGACATACAAAGCCATTTCATTATGCATTTTCTATATTTTTTTTTCTCATGAACTGACTAACTTTTTGGGGGATAATTTTTGCAAGGAGATGTAACCTCAATTTAGCAACAAGACGAGAAACTCTTTTTAATTTTTTTACGAGTTTATATGCAACCACTTTTAGGTGACAGTACTTTGTCTTCTTTTGCTGCGGTGCTAAATAAAATATTTGAATGGTGATGAAGAACAAAGAATTTAAAGTTCTGCAGTCAGGCTACTATTTTCGTAAAATAAATTTCTAGGAACTTCAATCCGCTAAGAGTCCTCACAGTAATCGCGAGGCCACCAAGTGGTGTATGTTCCTTGCCAGTGAACGTGGTGCTACCACTGCGTATTTATATCGCGGGTAGCAGGCAGGCTTGAGGAATAGGGCAATTTGTGTAAATAAGTGAGAAACAAGAGAACTACTGCGCAATCTCGATCACATCAGCCGTTTACATGATTTAGAATTCGAAACGACAAAATATATTTTTTTATAATTTTATATAAGCTTCCCTTCAACGTTTTATATAAAATTAAACAAGTGTTGCACCCACGTGCTTAATGCTCATTTAAAAGTGCTTTCGAACTTGTATTATCATTGTACGCAGCCCCTCAGTTATAAGGCACAAATATTTTTGGACGAGCAAAGACGAGCAATATTATAAAAAGAACAGTCCTATTCAGAATTTATAAATGAAGGTACAGGTTTAAACTGCTTGTCACAGTATAAAGCCCTAACTTCATCTCGCCTTGTTCCCTCATTCATGGGTGTTAGACACCGTTCAAAAACGAGGCAAAATATCACGAGAATTCTATTATGAAGACGGGCCTATCTTTACCTTGAATGCCGCCGAAGGTCACCGTCATCCATGCCATGGTGGGAACAAATGCGGATGTTACAATTCCTGACCAGATCAACAGCGCTCCCAGTAGAAATATCGTGAAAAGTGATACTCTCCGTTGAAACACTGCCACAAAAATAGCTACAAAACAAAATGCAGATCACATTATCTGCTTATATATAAGTGTGCTTCCAATTTATACTAGAATTTCCAGTTAGTGTTGCAGAGGGAGGTGCGTGAGTTTGAAAACAAATCACGGAAGCAAAATGTTTGAAAATGCACTGATTACTAGGGCTGGGCAACTGATATTATTTAATTGACTCCCGGCCCTACTAATTTTCCGGGTAATTAAGTACATGTACCCTTGCCAATGGCAAAGACGCGCATGGCCTGCTCGGATATAATTGGTAGTCACACATACCTCCTGATATGGCAGGTTGGATTTAAAAAAAAATGTTTATCTATTTCACATCAAGAACGAAAAGCTATCGCATCAATAACTTAAAACATAAACAAAAACATATTAGAACACCTAGCGTGTTGGTAAGGTTCATAGACACACAAAAACATAAACACATAAGACGGAGGACAGAACACAACATCATTTAAGAAGCAGAGAACAATAATGAAAAAGAACCGCCAAAAACGCTAGTGGACTGACTACACACTTGGTACTCTGCATGCCGTTGCCGCGAAACCTTATGCAGCCGCAATCTTCACCGAGAAAGGCACCCGTGAAGTGCTACGTGCTTATCACCTATCACCTGGTTTTGACGCTTGTGGTTTTCTTACTGAAACAAGTGTCAAAACCACATGGTAAAAGATAAGGCGTGCGCGAACAGTGATGAGGCGCGCGTGTGAGTTTTTTTGTTGACAGATACGAAAAAATCCCACCTGCGAGTCATATACAACTTCGCTGTAATCCAAATTTGTTAGCAAACGAGAAAACCTCTTTGAACAAAAGGTTAGGGAGCAAACGAGCTGGTGGAGGTTAAACATTTGACTAAAACCCCGTGACTGGGACGAGAAGAGACGGAACAACACAAAGTCTCAAACGCATGCAGCATAAATTTATTCCACAACGAAAGGGCTTATATAGGCATCAAACCCTAGACAAAACACTCGAGACGAGAAAAAGAGAGAAAGAGAGAAGTGGGGAAACCTGTGCGACAAGCAGTACAACAAAGCAACTTTTACAGTAGAACTAAGAAGCACTGATTTCCATTATGCAACACAAATGATAAAAAAGACACAAACTTTTTAACACAGTTCATACCGGCAGTGCCCCCAAAACACCCCAAAAGGAAAGACGTTTCAAGGATCACTCAAAACGTACACTTTTCTGGCGAAAGCCGGAAGTCTAGAAAAGAACGGACGCAACGAAGCAAACGACCAGGGACCCAACCAAAAGCGAACTGATCTTGATAAAACTTGAAATCGGACAAAAGCAACCAAAACTTCGTAGGCCGCAACGAACCGCTTGACTTAACGCGCCAAAGCATCAAACTTGTAGGAACCTTCTCTGTTTTGTATCCAAAGTGAGGAATGGCTTATTTACCGCATTCCCATGGTTCATGATTGTTATAGATTATTTTATCAAACGTTTCCGGTCATATTTTTTTTGTTATGACTATTGTGGCTGAGTCCCAGTTAGCTAAACAATTATCGCATTCAACTACATGTTTTGACACCTCCGAATATGGATCTTTGTTTTTGACACGTTTGTGTTCGGTGACTCGACCGTTCATACAGCGGCTGGTCTGTCCTGTGTAGCGTAATCCGCAATCAAACGGGATCCTATACACGCAACTGACCTCTTTTTCCCTAGGTTCCTTAGTTGCAACCAGCTCTGGCGGAATCAAACGAAGTAGTTTGATTCAGTCTGTAATCGTTGCTAAACACAGTGCTAACACCATACCTGTTCCGAATGGATCTAAGATTATGCGAAATCTGGCGAAAAAACCGAAGAATCACACACTTTCTGGGTTTAAGAACACTTCCGCGCTTTTTCTTGACAGCGTCGAGAAACAACAACTGAATGAAAACATAATCATAAGGGTACCCACCGGCTTTAAAACGGTCAAACATGCGCTTGACAGCGCTTGAGAACTCTCGTCTCTAGTGCTTTGAACAGTATTTGATGCCTATGTAAGCCCTTTATTTGTCCAAAAAATTTCAGCTGCGTTTGAGACTTTGTGTTTGTCCGGTCCTTCTCGTCCCAGTCTCGGGGTTTTAGTCAAATGTTTAAACCCTCCTTGCTACAAACTGGTGACCCGGACGTAATGGGTGTTGCTTCCGGCCACCTCGTGAAGCGATCGATGCAGGTCAGTATGTATACCTTCAATCGTCGGCTGGTGGGAGTGTTCCCACTACGGCGAAGTGGATGTTGCTGAAGAATCCAGAGAGGAATAACCCTACGAGCACTTGAAGATGAATTCATCTGGCGAACAACAGAGTCAAAACTAGAGAAAGTGAGAAACTAGGTGACGGGAAGCCGACAGAACAGAAACGACGCATGCAGCAGCTTCTATGAGAGAAAGCACCGAACGTGGAGATAATAATTCTCCGATAACTTTTTTCTCCAGAGGCTACCACAGCCAGTCCACATGATACCGTGCAAATCGACCATCGACTCCACTGCCACATTGGCTCGGATGGCCTAAGAAATCATGAAATCAGGCTTCCTAACCATCTCCGCTGTGCAAGCGAATGACACAGCACTACATGTCGCGCGAACATCTACAGCCATAGAGGACAAGGTAGTGTAGCTGCTGTCTTCTAACTCACAGACCGAGGAAGATAATTTTAGTGTACTCACTTCCAGAACCCCTCACGGGTGCTAGGTGCAAAGCATGTCCACATAACTTTCTATCACCCCATCTCCAGCGAAATGGTGGAACGGTTTCACAGACAGCTAAAAACCTGTTTGAAGACGAAACCTAGAGCCGCACATTGAACAGAAACTTAATACACACCTCACTGAAAAGTGACATGGGATTCAGTACAGCAGAAATGGTGTGCTCACCAAAAATGGCCTCTGCGCATTCCTGGTGAGTTTCTAACACAATCCCAAGCACTGCAACTACTACAACAGAGGTCAACGCAAGCCGCCTACGTTCCTCATTCGAAAAACTACGACCTACGCCCACAGCACAGCGCAACTCTCGCAAGGTGTTCCTCAGCCCCAAACTGGCACGTTGCACCCACGTGTTCATACGCAAAGACGCCGTGAAGCGACCGCTGCAAGACCGATTGGATGGACTATTTAAAGTAGTGAAACAAGGTGACATGTACTTAACCGTACTCGTTAAGGGGCATGAAGATGCCATTTCACATGACAGGCTAATAGCAGCTGGCAAATCTCAAGCAACCCCGAGCACAAACAACTTCAACCATAGTACGATGCGTGCAATCCAAAGGAGCTCCTGAACGCTCGTCTCCTGGACCTCTTAACTAGAGGGGGAGGAGTACCTGTAGCGGCACGCAAAAGCGAGCAAAGAAGACGAAGTACACCAGCACGAGAGAATATCACCACTTCCACGCAGGAGCTCGAGATGACTGGACTTTCGGTTACGCATTCTACTTTCTACAACCGATAATTACTCTGGCTCTTAAATAGAAAAGTAAAAATATTAACGAATTTAGTAACGAGACATACCCTCAACGTTCATTAGTAGGAGTAGGACTTCAAGATTTCGACATAATTTATTGTAAAATATTGCGAATAATGCCAGGTTTATTATGCTCGAAATAAAAAAATTAGCTTTATAGGTTTGCTTCCTGGTGCGCATGCCACTGGCTAAAAATAAACGAACGGTTGAAAGATATCTCCGAAACTTGCAAGCGGTAAAATACAGAAAAAGCAAATAAAGTTGTTTTGGTCAAGTTAGTTTCACTATATACGATGTATTTTCTTGTATTGGCTTCAGTAGTGGAGTAACTCTCGTTCCGCTGCACCTCTCAAAATGCGTCTGCCTTCATGCCCTTGTTAGCACTCAGGGAGATTTATAGGCCAAGCTTCATTTACTATGAAGTATAAATCAGCTGACACCGGCGGCGGCTAGTATCCGCTTTGAGCATCAGCTTGAAAAATTCATGTAGCGTGACGAGTCCATGTAAGCCCGAAGCTGATTGCTGTTTAGTTTTAAAGGAGGGAACCCATTCTGAACCACCGAGACATTTCTTATGTGCTCATGAGTTACATGTTTGGTTATCCCTTCGACACATCCACACGTCTACATTTGCGTAGAACACACGATGGGCAGGTGACTGTATAATCTACGGAGAGCATTGAATGCCGAAGCACAAAAGACGTCATGACTCGAAATCTCAACTTGCGCAGGAACAATGTGCATGTCGTCTGTTTTTTCTTTATGTTTATTCTTGATGGCCGCAATAACGCAAACCAAAATAGTTAGGACATTCCTTTAATAGGCAAAAGTTTGTAAACAAAATTTCCGAGTTCACCTCACACAACTTAAAGCCAGTGAGAACATCGAGGCGGCATATTTTTAAATGCAGGTCACTTTTAATATTCTAAACCAAAATATTCGAAGTTGGCTGACTAATTGACATGTCTGAAGGGAACAACACAAAGAGCGATTACTTCGGTTGAAGAACAGGGAGTTTTGTTTGATCTGTTGCCTCGCTTGTTGTCGCGCAGTTTTTGTTATGGAGGAACTCGGCAATAACAGCACAGCTGCCGTTAGTCGCGTTATCCGAAACTGGTTTGCCTTGTTGACCTCACTGCCAATGCACAGGTGCACCTCTACACGCGTTACTCAGCGGCGCATTTTTTCGGGACGACGTAAAATGCTGCGACTGCTTTATATCATTGTACCTTGGGTGTATTTAGAAGGTTTCGATGACGCGGAGCAAGAGTGTAATTGAGTCCATCTCTTTACAATCAATAATTAAAAAATTGAATCACTCAAAATTAATTTATTACCCAATATATTCAAAGCCAATAATTTTACTTAATGGGCTCTTCGACACAAACCACTGTCTAATCAACCTTTCTTTTTTTTTTTTTTC